CCTGTAGCTGATGTTGCTGACCAGAACAGAGATGACCATGCTGGAAGCAAGTCAGCATGAGGGGTGATCAAGTAGAAGAGACCTGAAAGGTAGAACGATACTGCATGCCTGTACCATTATAATTAATCTGGTACAACGTGGTCTGGTCGTGCTGCTGTGGTTGAGAGGTATGGCCTCGGCTAGGACTGACATTCACCTACGGGTGTGCTGGTGGGTTGAGAATGGCCTCGGCTAGGACTGACATTCACCTACACGTGGTGTGCTGCTGTGGTTGAGAATGGCCTCGGCTGGGACTTCGATACTCACGTGGTGTGCTGCTGTGGTTGAGAATGGCCTCAGCTGGGACTGATACTCACGTGGTGTGCTGCTGTGGTTTGAGAATGGCCTCGGCTAGGACTGATACTCACGTGGTGTGCTGCTGTGGTTGAGAATGGCCTCGGCTGGGACTGACATTCACCTACACGTGGTGTGCTGCTGTGGTTGAGGAATGGCCTCGGCTGGGACTGATACTCGTGGTGTGCTGCTGTGGTTGAGAATGGCCTCGGCTAGGACTGATACTCGCGTGGTGTGCTGCTGTGGTTGAGAATGGCCTCAAGCTGGGACTGATACTCACGTGGTGTGCTGCTGTGGTTTGAGAATGGCCTCGGCTAGGACTGACATTCCACCTACCGTGGTGTGCTGCTGTGGTTGAGAATGGCCTCGGCTGGGACTGATACTCGCGTGGTGTGCTGCTATAGTTGAGGTGGCCTCGGCCAGGACTGATATTCACCTACCGCGTGGTGTGCTGCTGTGGTTGAGAATGGCCTCGGCTAGGACTGATACTCACGTGGTGTGCTGCTGTGGTTGAGAATGGCCTCGGCTAGGGACTGATACTCACGTGGTGTGCTGCTGTGGTTGAGAATGGCCTCGGCTGGGACTGATACTCACGTGGTGTGCTGCTGTGGTTGAGAATGGCCCTCGGCTGGGACTGATATACTCAAATGGTTGCTGCTGTGGTTGAGGAATGGCCTCGGCCAGGACTGACATTCACCTGGAACGTGGTGTGCTGCTGTGGTTGAGGAATGGCCTCGGCTAGGACTGACATTCACCTACCGTGGTGTGCTCTTGTGGTTGAGAATGGCCTCGGCTGGGACTGACATTCACCTACACGTGGTGTGCTGCTGTGGTTGAGAATGGCCTCGGCTAGGACTGACATTCACCTACGTGGTGTGCTGCTGTAGTTCAGAATGGCCACCGGCTAGGGACTGATACTCACGTGGTGTGCTGCTGTGTGGTTGAGAATGGCCTCGGCTAGGACTGACATTCACCTACACGTGGTGTGCTGCTGCTGTGGTTGAGAATGGCCTCGGCTAGGGACTGATACTCCGTGGTGTGCTGCTGTAGTTGAGAATGGCCTCGGCTAGGACTGATACTCACCGTGGTGTGCTGCTGTGGTTGACAATGGCCTCGGCTAGGACTGACATTCACCTACGTGGTGTGCTGCTGTGGTTGAGAATGGCCTCGGCTAGGACCACTGACATTCACCTACTGCGTGGTGTGCTGCTGTGGTTGAGAATGGCCTCGGCTAGGACTGATACTCGTGGTGTGCTGCTGGGTTGAGAATGGCCTCGGCTAGGGACTGACATTCACCTACACGTGGTGTGCTGCTGTGGTTGAGAATGGCCTCGGCTAGGACTGACATTCACCTGCGTGGGTGTGCTCTTGTGGTTGAGAATGGCCTCGGCTAGGACTGATACTCCGCGTGGTGTGCTGCTGTGGTTGAGAATGGCCTCGGCTAGGACTGATACTCACGTGGTGTGCTGCTGTAGTTGAGGAATGGCCTCGGCTGGGACTGATACTCCGTGGTGTGCTGCTGTGGTTGAGAATGGCCTCCGGCCAGGACCGATACTCGTGATGCTCTTGTGGTCGAGAATGGCCTCGGCCAGGACTGACATTCACCTACACGTGGTGTGCTGCTGTGGTTGAGAATGGCCTCGGCTAGGACTGACATTCTACCTACACGTGGTGTGCTCTTGTGGTTGAGAATGGCCTCGGCTAGGACTGACATTCACCTACGTGGTGTGCTGCTGTGGTTGAGGAATGGCCTCGGCTAGGACTGATACTCACGTGAATTGTGTGCTCTTGTGGTCGAGAATGGCCTCGGCCAGGACGGCATTCACCTACACGTGGTGTGCTGCTGTGGTTGAGAATGGCCCTCGGCTAGGACTGACATTCATCTACTGCGTGGTGTGCTGCTGTGGTTGAGAATGGCCTCGCCAGGGACTGACATTCACCTACACGTGGTGTGCTGCTGTAGTTGAGAATGGCCTCGGCTGGGACTGACATTCACCTACCGTGGTGTGCTGCTGTGGTTGAGAATGGCCCTCGGCTAGGACTGACATTCACCTACACGCGTGGTGTGCTCTTGTGGTTGAGAATGGCCTCGGCTGGGACTGACATTCACCTACACGGTGTGCTGCTGTGGTTGAGAATGGCCTCGGCTAGGACTGACATTCACCTACACGTGGTGTGCTGCTGTAGTTGAGAATGGCCTCGGCTAGGACTGATACTCACGTGGTGGTGCTGCTGTGGTTGAGAATGGCCTCGGCTGGGACTGACATTCACCTACCGTGGTGTGCTGCTGTAGTTGAGAATGGCCCCCTCGGCTAGGACTGATACTCCGTGGTGTGCTGCTGTGGTTGAGAATGGCCTCGGCTAGGACTGACATTCACCTACTACGTGGTGTGCTGCTGTGGTTGAGAATGGCCTCGGCTAGGACTGATATTCACCTACACGTGGTGTGCTGCTGTAGTTGAGAATGGCCTCGGCTGGGACTGATACTCACGTGGTGTGCTGCTGTGGTTGAGAATGGCCTCGGCTAGGACTGACATTCACCTACACGCGGGTGTGCTGCTGTAGTTGAGAATGGCCTCGGGCTGGGACTGATACTCCCTACGTGGTGTGCTGCTGTGGTTGAGAATGGCCTCGGCTAGGACTGATACTCCGTGGTGTGCTGCTGCTGTGGTTGAGAATGGCCTCGGCTAGGACTGATACTCCGCGTGGTGTGCTGCTGTAGTTGAGAATGGCCTCGGCTGGGACTGATACTCACCTACGGGTGTGCTGCTGTGGTTGAGAATGGCCTCGGCTAGGACTGATACTCCGCGTGGTGTGCTGCTGTGGTTGAGAATGGCCTCGGCTAGGACTGACATTCACCTACGCGGTGTGCTGCTGTGGTTGAGAATGGCCTCGGCTAGGACTGATATCACCTCACGTGGTGTGCTGCTGTAGTTGAGAATGGCCTCGGCTGGGACTGACATTCACCTACGTGGTGTGCTGCTGTGGTTGAGAATGGCCTCGGCTAGGACTGACATTCACCTACACGTGGTGTGCTGCTGTAGTTGAGAATGGCCTCGGCTAGGACTGATACTCACCTACACGTGGTGTGTGCTGCTGTGGTTGAGAATGGCCTCGGCTGGGACTGATACTCCTACGTGGTGTGCTGCTGTAGTTGAGAATGGCCTCGGCTGGGACTGATACTCCGCGTGGTGTGCTGCTGTGGTTGAGAATGGCCTCGGCTAGGACTGACATTCATCTACATGTGGTGTGCTCTTGTGGTTGAGAATGGCCTCGCTAGGACTGACATTCACCTACACGTGGTGTGCTGCTGTGGTTGAGAATGGCCTCGGCTAGGACTGACATTCATCTACCGGGTGTGCTGCTGTGGTTGAGAATGGCCTGCGGCTAGGACTGACATTCACCTACCGTGGTGTGCTGCTGTGGTTGAGAATGGCCTCGGCTGGGACTGACATTCACCTACACGTGGTGTGCTGCTGTGGTTGAGAATGGCCTCGGCTAGGACTGATACTCACCTACGTGGTGTGCTGCTGTGGTTGAGAATGGCCTCGGCTAGGACTGATACTCACGTGGTCTGCTGCTGTGGTTGAGAATGGCCTCGGCCAGGACTGATACTCACGTGGTGTGCTGCTGTGGTTGAGAATGGCCTCGGCTAGGACTGATACTCACGTGGTGTGCTGCTGTGGTTGAGAATGGCCTCGGCTAGGACTGACATTCACCTACGTGGTGTGCTGCTGTGGTTGAGAATGGCCTCGGCTAGGACTGACATTCACCTACACATGGTGTGCTGCTGTAGTTGAGAATGGCCTCGGCTAGGACTGATATTCACCTACCCACGTGGTGTGCTGCTGTGGTTGAGAATGGCCTCGGCCAGGACTGACATTCACCTACGCGTGGTGTGCTGCTGTGGTTGAGAATGGCCTCGGCTAGGACTGACATTCACCTACACATGGTGTGCTGCTGTGGTTGAGAATGGCCTCGGCTGGGACTGACATTCACCTACACGTGGTGTGCTGCTGTGGTTGAGAATGGCCTCGGCTAGGACTGATATTCACCTACACGTGGTGTGCTGCTGTGGTTGAGAATGGCCCCGGCTAGGACTGACATTCACCTACACGTGGTGTGCTGCTGTGGTTGAGAATGGCCTCGGCTGGGACTGACATTCACCTACACATGGTGTGCTGCTGTGGTTGAGAATGGCCTCGGCTAGGACTGATACTCCTGCGTGGTGTGCTGCTGTAGTTGAGAATGGCCTCGGCTAGGACTGATACTCACGTGGTGTGCTGCTGTGGTTGAGAATGGCCTCGGCTAGGGACTGATACTCCTACGTGGTGTGATGCTGTAGTTGAGAATGGCCTCGGCTAGGACTGATACTCACGTGGTGTGCTGCTGTGGTTGAGAATGGCCTCGGCTAGGACTGACATTCACCTGCGTGGTGTGCTGCTGTAGTTGAGAATGGCCTCGGCTAGGACTGATACTCACGTGGTGTGCTGCTGTGGTTGAGAATGGCCTCGGCTAGGACTGATACTCACGTGGTGTGCTGCTGTGGTTGAGAATGGCCTCGGCTAGGACTGACATTCACCTACACGTGGTGTGCTGCTGTGGTTGAGAATGGCCTCGGCTGGGACTGATACTCACGTGGTGTGCTGCTGTGGTTGAGAATGTCCTCGGCTAGGGACTGATAATCACGTGGTGTGCTGCTGTGGTTGAGAATGGCCTCGGCTAGGACTGACATTCACCTACATGGTGTGCTGCTGTGGTTGAGAATGGCCTCGGCTAGGACTGATACTCACGTGGTGTGCTGCTGTGGTTGAGAATGGCCTCGCTAGGACTGACATTCACCTACATGTGGTGTGCTGCTGTGGTTGAGAATGGCCTCGGCTAGGGACTGACATTCACCTACATGTGGTGTGCTGCTGTGGTTGAGAATGGCCCCGCTAGGACTGACATTCACCTACGCGTGGTGTGCTCTTGTGGTTGAGAATGGCCTCGGCTAGGACTGATATTCACCTACCACATGGTGTGCTGCTGTGGTTGAGAATGGCCTCGGCTAGGACTGATACTCACGTGGTGTGCTGCTGTAGTTGAGAATGGCCTCGGCTAGGACTGATACTCACGTGGTGTGCTGCTGTGGTTGAGAATGGCCTCGGCTAGGACTGACATTCACCTACACGCGTGGTGTGCTCTTGTGGTTGAGAATGGCCTCGGCTAGGGACTGACATTCACCTACACATGGTGTGCTGCTGTGGTTGAGAATGGCCTCGGCTAGGACTGATACTCACGTGGTGTGCTGCTGTGGTTGAGAATGGCCTCGGCTAGGACTGACATTCACCTACATGTGGTGTGCTCTTGTGGTTGAGAATGGCCTCGGCTAGGACTGACATTCACCTACATGTGGTGTGCTGCTGTAGTTGAGAATGGCCCTCGGCTAGGACTGACATTCACCTACACGTGGTGTGCTCTTGTGGTTGAGAATGGCCTCGGCTAGGACTGATACATTCACCTACGTGGGTGTGCTCTTGTGGTTGAGAATGGCCTCGGCTAGCTAGGACTGATACTCACGTGGTGTGCTGCTGTGGTTGAGAATGGCCTCGCTAGGACTGACATTCACCTACACGTGGTGTGCTGCTGTGGTTGAGAATGGCCTCGGCTAGGACTGACATTCACCTACACGTGGTGTGCTGCTGTGGTTGAGAATGGCCTCGGCTAGGACTGACATTCACCTACACGTGGTGTGCTGCTGTGGTTGAAGGAATGGCCTCGGCTAGGACTGATGCTTACCTACACGGTGTGCTGCTGTGGTTGAAGGAACGGCCTCGCTAGGACTGATGCTTACCTACACGTGGTGTGCTGCTGTGGTTGAAGGGAACGGCCTCGGCTAGGACTGATGCTTACCTACACGTGGTGTGCTGCTGTGGTTGAAGGGAACGGCCTCGGCTAGGACTGATGCTTACCTACACGCGTGGTGTGCTGCTGTGGTTGAAGGAACGGCCTCGGCTAGGACTGATGCTTACCTACACGTGGTGTGCTGCTGTGGTTGAAGGAACGGCCTCGCTAGGACTGATGCTTACCTACACGTGGTGTGCTGCTGTGGTTGAAGGAACGGCCTGCTGGACTGATGCTTACCTACACGTGGTGTGCTGCTGTGGTTGAAGGAACGGCCTCGGCTAGGACTGATGCTTACCTACACGTGGTGTGCTGCTGTGGTTGAAGGGAACGGCCTCGGCTAGGACTGATGCTTACCTACACGTGGTGTGCTGCTGTGGTTGAAGGGAACGGCCTCGGCTAGGACTGATGCTTACCTACACGTGGTGTGCTGCTGTGGTTGAAGGGAACGGCCTCGGCTAGGACTGATGCTTACCTACACGTGGTGTGCTGCTGTGGTTGAAGGAACGGCCTCGGCTAGGACTGATGCTTACCTACACGTGGTGTGCTGCTGTGGTTGAAGGAACGGCCTCGGCTAGGACTGATGCTTACCTACACGTGGTGTGCTGCTGTGGTTGAAGGGAACGGCCTCGGCTAGGACTGATGCTTACCTACGTGGTGTGCTGCTGTGGTTGAAGGGAACGGCCTCGGCTAGGACTGATGCTTACCTACACGTGGTGTGCTGCTGTGGTTGAAGGGAACGGCCTCGGCTAGGACTGATGCTTACCTACACGTGGTGTGCTGCTGTGGTTGAAGGAACGGCCTCGGCTAGGACTGATGCTTACCTACACGTGGTGTGCTGCTGTGGTTGAAGGGAACGGCCTCGGCTAGGACTGATGCTTACCTACACGTGGTGTGCTGCTGTGGTTGAAGGAACGGCCTCGGCTAGGACTGATGCTTACCTACACGTGGTGTGCTGCTGTGGTTGAAGGGAACGGCCTCGGCTAGGACTGATGCTTACCTACACGTGGTGTGCTGCTGTGGTTGAAGGGAACGGCCTCGGCTAGGACTGATGCTTACCTACACGTGGTGTGCTGCTGTGGTTGAAGGGAACGGCCTCGGCTAGGACTGATGCTTACCTACACGTGGTGTGCTGCTGTGGTTGAAGGGAACGGCCTCGGCTAGGACTGAGATGAGAAGAACGAGTCCGACGATTATCAGCATACCTGTGGAGGGAATTATTATCCTAATATAAACTTGGGAGGAGGAGTAAAGCAAAACATCTGTAACTCGATGTATATGTCTTCTGGACCACAGGAAATATTGGTGAGTGAGTGAGTGAGTGAGTTTAGTTTTACGCCGCACTCAGCAATATACCAGCTTTATGGCGGCGGTCTGTAAATAATCGAGTCTGGACCAGACAATCCAGTCATCAACAGCATGAGCATCGATCTGCGCAATTGGGAACCGATGACATGTGTCAACCAAGTCAGCGAACCTGACCACCCGATCCCGTTAGTCGCCTCTTACGACAAGATAGTCGCCTTTTTATGGCAAGCACATGGGTTGCTGAAAACCTATTCTACCCCGGATCTTCACGGGTCGGAAATATTGGTACCAACCGGTGTTCCGGTTTCCGTGTACCACCACCACAACAACAAGTATTCCGTCCGTGTGTCAATGTAGATGCCTCTCTTAATTTACACCTGGGAAGGTCCTGGGAAGAATGTTTGTTCAGGTGTGAGTGAGTTTAGTTTTACGCCGCTTTTAGCAATATTCCAGCAATATCACGGGGGGGGGGGGGGCGGCACCAGAAATGGGATTCACATATTGTGCCCATGTGGGGAATCGAACTCGGGTCTTCGGCGTGACGAGCCAACGCTATAACCATTAGGCTACCCCATCTCACTCACTCAGTCTTCAGTAACCCATGCTTGTGGTAAGAGGCGACAAACGATATCGGGTGGTCAGACTCGCTGGCATGGTTGACACGTCATCGTATCCAAAATGTCGATCAGTGCTCATGATGTCAATCACTGGATTGTCTGGTCCAGACTCGATTATTTACAGACTGCTGCCATATAACTGTGATATTGCTGAGTGTGGCGTTAAACAACAAACAAAATTTCCATTATGTGCATTTAACCATGTTACTGAATGGCTTGACGGTTCTGCATTCCATTTCTACCTGGTACCCATCCACTGTGAAAATACTGTAATGATTTCATGGGGAATAGAAACACCACTTATGAGACACATCAGTTTTTGAAAACGTGTTTCTAAAAACCCACGGGGCTCCAGCTTGTCAAACTGGCACCCATCCATCTCTTCCCACCGTCCGTTAATATATTGTAGATTTGTGACGTCTAAATAGGACACGTAAAGCATCAAACACATGTTAATGTCCTTTGTAATTCTTACAAAACGGCGGCGGCGGAGTAGCCTAGTGGTTAAGGCGTCCGCTCGTCACGCTGAAGACCCGGGTTCGATTCCACACATGGGTACAATGTGTGAAACCCATTTTGGGTGTTCCCCGCCGTGATATTGTTGTAATATTGCTAAAAGCGGCGCACAACCTCACTCACTCACTCACTCACTCACTCACTCATTCTTACCAAACGTATTCTTCTCACTGGACCTTGCAGGTAGTAGAAACAGCACGGGAACCAGGAACCCAATGAGAGCCCCAGGTCCTATGGCTAGGTACTTGAAGAAGGAAGCTCTCCTCTTCACCTCCACCGTAATGCTTAGTAAAGCGAATTCATAAGTACCATACTTCACCTCTAACAGTTTAGCCTTCAGCTTATCATCTACGATGGTCCAATAAGGATGTTCAACCATCGGCATACCCTGAGAGCTTTCTGAGATGCTAATATCCATCTCTTTAGCCCCCTCCGTATAGAACCTCATGTCCATCTGTTGACGAGTGTGTAACCAAGAACCAAAGACGACTGTGCAGGATTGGGTATCGAAGGGGAAATTGGTGACATCAAGAGGACACTTTGATGACACGACCATCAGAGGTCCCCATCTTACGGTGCCGTCATTGGAAACGTCAACTAGTTCTTCATACACGGGGTCTGACACCGCCGTCGGTGCTCTGTAATGCAAATACATTCAATTTAATTTAAAATACATCACTATCGGAAAAGGACGAAGTGTGTTTATTCCCTTTGGGTCAACTGCATATGTCAAAGTTACCAAATCTTCTCTGTTTTTAATGTAAAGGAAATCTAACCATGATCAAATCTTTGACTTAAAAGAAACTTCCACCACACCTTTGTCTTCGTTTCTTTAGACGTAAAATGTGCATGTTCAAATATACAAAACAGCCTTTAACCTTGTCCAAAAACATGCTAAAGCAAACAACTCCATTAACTACTGACTGACTGACTGACTGACTGACTGACTGACTTTGGTTTTCAGCCGCTTTGAGCAATATTCCAGCAATATCACGGCGGGGGGACACCAGAAACGGGCTTCACTCATTGTACCCATGTGGGGATTCGAACCCAGGTCTTCGGCGTGACGAGCCAACGCTTTACCCACAAGACTACCCCACCGCCCCTTCCATTAACTAAGTTTTCATAACGATTTCAACAAGTTTCGGCTACTTTTCTTATTTTTTATGTGTAAATCGTGAGGGCTTATCGCATCTTCTCTTCTCAGGGTCTGCAAATCACCATCATCATCATTATTTCCTCCAAGTGTGGACATGACAAGGAAATGCGAACATGAGATTATGTACAAATGTACGTATATATTTAGATATCCGTTACATTGATGCACTTCCGATCAAGTGACTCACGCGTTGAAAGGCACTATATCCGGCAGCCACAGTCGCATTGACGGGAGCTTCACATTGGTCACACCCCCATATTCTGATGCATTCCATTTCAGTCGAATGTCGACCCATTGCTTAAACAAAATAGGGGTGGATAGATTGCAAAAGATATACTTTTTTTAAAAGATAAAATAATGTTTCTAAAATGGGGTCAAGACGAACACGGTATCGTAGTTTATGTATCATCATAAACTTATTTTATTCTATTACAATAAAAATGCATTATTTATTTCTTAATAAGAGCAAATGCAATAATCAAGAAAGACAAGGTGTCGTTCCCCGTAGTACCTCGGTATAGTAGATTGCGGGCTTTATTTAGGAAAATACATAATTTATGTAAATATTTTTGGTTAAGTACAGGATATAAAATTGCTCCCAAAAGGTGTCAAGAGATATTTGTACTTTATTTTATAAGAATACCATGGAACACACCTGGAGCAAGATCAGCCTTGATGTCAGTGTGTTGTCGGCTTCATTCTGGAATTGATATAATCATGCAATTTCATCTACAACTTGAAATACATACATGCATGCATGCATGCACATACATACATACATACATACATACATACATACATACATACATACATACATACATACATACATACATACATACATACATACATACATACATACATACATACATACATACATACATATTGTAAATATTATATATAAATATCATATATCCGTATTGTAAATATCATATATCCGTATTGTAAATATCATATATCCGTATTGTAAGTTATCATATCAATATCGCATTTATCCGATTATGTTAGACAGAATTAAAACATAAGTTTCACGACTTGAACATTACAAGTTTCATCCTTCCTAATGGTTTCAGAGCAAATAACGAAAGTGCGAAATCCGTGATGGAGATACCGGAATATGTACGACTGACATTAACCATCACGCGTAATGGATTTTACCGCACGCTTTAATCACTCGCCGGATTTGCACCCAAGTTGGCATCACGATGATTGGATGAATTTGGTTCAAGCACTTCACAAAATGAGTGAGTGAGTTTAGTTTTACGCCGCTTGTAGCAATATTCTAGCAATATCCCAGCGGGGTCCAGCAGAAATGGGACAATTATGTAAATGGACTACTAAAAATAAGCGGTGATACCTGATGTTCGTGTAAAGGTGAGTGAGTTAATATTCAACGTCACATCGGCAATATTTCAGCCATATCGTGACGAGAACAACTTATATCAAAGTTTAATCAATAAATGTACATAAACATCTGTCATCGAAGGACAGTAAAAACTACTAGAGTATCACAGCTCTTAATTTAAAAATAGTACGCTATTATAAAAAGATATCACTAGAGACAACAATACAATATAAAAACGGGCCATAGATCACCAGCAACTGAAGGTTGATCGCCACTAACAATCTCAGTTGCTAATCTAAACTACCAATAATAAAATATTTATCTATTTACAAAACATTTAACAAACCTAATTCTTTTAAAAATGCAATAATTTAAAGAGAACTTATATTATTAAATAGATCCTTCAAAGTTCGTGATTTGAAACAGTTATCCCCTGTGATGGAATATTCAACACGGTCAAGCAGAACATGCTTGACCGTGATTCTTTCATCACAAGGGATGCAAAACGGAGGATCCTGACCTTTCAATAAATATTCATGAGTATATCTTGTGTGGCCAATACGACATCGTCGCATGATGACCTCTTCAAATCTGGACTGACAACCCAAGTAGGTGTAACCAACGGTTTATTTCATGTAATTTATTAATACCTACTTGAGTGTTCCACTTCTTCTGCATCAGACCCCGGATATAAGATCTAATGGACGCTTTGTAATTAGAGTATGGAATAAGAAGTGGTGTCAAAGATTTGTTGAGTGCTGTCTTAGCAGCAAGATCGGCCATTGTCTTCCCAGAAATGCCAACGTGGCTGGGTAACCAACAAAATACGATGTAACATTGGCCAGTAGCAAGATCATTATATAATTCTATTATTTCTATTAAAAGTGGATTTTAACAAGAAAGATTTTTTTATAGCCTGAAAGCAAGAAAGAGAGTCAGAAAAGATTATATATTGTTTATGTTTAGGATGTCTTTGAATGTATTTAAGAGCCGTTAATATATGGCGTTAGCTTCTGCTGTAAAAATAGAGCTGTTATCCGGTATTCTAGAAGATATTGTTCTGGATCCAATGAGAGTGGCACAAGACACTGCGCCACCATCCTTGGATCAATCTGTAAATAAGGATTTCTGTGTATTATACTTACTTTTCAACTGATTAAATTCTGTTTATACTGTAATTCATTAGTTTCTGATTTTCTAAATGTGGTTAATGTTAGGTCGACTCGTGGTCTAACCAATTGCCAAGAAGGAGAAGAAAGAAGGCGGGAAGGAGCTATATTTTCCAGCTCAATGTCGGCAGCAGAAACGAATGGTTGATTCTGAGCCCAAGAGGTAGAAAAAGGGAAGGTTTCTTGTTGTATAAATCCTCATAGAGAGAATTGAAGACACAGTTATATGCAGGGTTAGGTTTGTTAGAATAAAGTTTTGTAAGATATTGTAAAAGATAATTTTATACGGCGTTACAGATCCAAGAAAAAGTCTTAGACCTTGGATAGAATTTAACAGTTTGAGGTTGCTTTTACAGGCTCCACCATATACAATGGAGCCATATCGTGTAAATGGTAAGCATGGGTTGCCCTACCAGTATCAGGGGGAACATGGGTTGCCCTACGGTAACAGGGGAACATGGGTTGCCCTACGGTAACAGGGGAACATGGGTTGCCCTACGGTAACAGGGGAACATGGGTTGCCCTACCGGTATCAGGGGAACAGAGGAGTGTTAGCTTTAAACGAAGCAGGAAAAGTATTCGTCAGTATTCCGGAACTGGAAGTATTCCTGTCACACACGGGTACTCACGATATTGTTGATGCTGAGCAGCACGGGATACACCGAGACATCCACCGTTGAGTTGGCGGATGTGACAGGCCGAGCCTCCCTCACGTAACCAGACTGGAGGAAGTCTGATATTAGTTTTGACTCCCAAAACACCTCGCCCTTGTCACCGCTTCCTGCAAACAAAACATGGTGGTCACTATAGATGAGGTCTGATCACGACCCGATCAACACCAGTCCATCTCCCCTAGTCAGTGACACCTGTAATACAGACAGTCAACACAGAATGAATGATTGAGGTAGGACCACAACCCGATCAACACCAGTCCATCTTTCCTACTCAGTGACACCTGTAATACAGACAGTCAACACAGAATGAATGACTGAGGTAGGACCACAACCCGATCAACACCAGTCCATCTTTCCTAGTCTCATACCTCATCAAGTGGATCGAAAACTTTCTTGTGGACAGACAGCAGTACGTGAAAGTTAACGGGGCTGTATCGAGTAAACGAACCACCAACACTGGTGCACCACAAGGCTGTGTAACATCTCCTGTTCTTTTCATCCTGTACACTAATGATTGTGCAATCTGTTCAACTGTAAAGTTCGCAGATGATGCAGCAATTGTTGCAATCTGAACGACACTGATTCTGAAGAACTGTATAAAGAGGACATTAATCATTTTACGACTAGGTGTGCAGAAAACCACTTACATCTTAAATGTCACAAAAACAATGGAACTGATAATTGACTTTCGGAGTAAACCCACAGAAATGCTTCCGGTGAATGTGTTGAGACAGTGTCGGAGTATAAGTATCTGGGAACCTTCATTGACTCTAACCTGAACTGGAACTCTAACACTGAAGCCCTATGCAAAAAGTGTCAACAACGTCTTCATCTCATGCGTAAACTGAGACCTTTTAATGTTAACCCATCTGTAATATCATCTTTTTATGTAGCATTTATTCAGAGTATTTTAACATTTTCCTTCCATTGTTGGTACGGGTCTCTCTCAGTTCATCTCAAATCTAAAATAGACAAATTTGTTAACACTGCAAGTAAAATCGCTGGAGTCAGATTTGAATGTTTATCATCAACATATGAGCGGCAAATCGTGAATCAAGATGTCAAAATCATATCTGACCGTACTCACAACTTAAATTCGGAATACAACCTCCTCCCTTCAGGCCGCCGCTACAAAGTTCCAATTGTGAAAACTAAGAGAGCCCGTACATCCTTTATTCCAAGTACCATATCTCTCTTAAATAAATGTGAAGATGCCTAAATCAAAGAATTTATGTAAATATGTTTGGTATCTCTCTAATGTGTCAGTAGCTCTGCTGATGTAACACGAATTCCTGAAAAGGCATCAAAGTATTATTCTATTCTACTCTATTCTATGTTTGTTTCCTAATACGGATTCAGGGATAGAATAGGTCCCCAGTACACCATATTTGTTTCCTAATGTGGATTCAGGGATAAAATAGGTCCCCACTACAACATATTTGTTTCCTAATATGGATTCAGGGACAAAATAGGTCCCCACTACACCATATTTGTTTCCTAATATGGGTTCGTGGATAAAATAGGTTCCCACTACACCATATTTGTTTCCTAATATGGGTTCGTGGATAAAATAGGTTCCCACTACACCATATTTGTTTCCTAATATGGATTCAGGGATAAAATAGGTCCCCACTACGCCATGTTTGTTTCCTAATATGGGTTCGTGGATAAAATAGGTCCCAACTACACCATATTTGTTTCCTAATATGGATTCAGGGACAAAATAGGTCCCCACTACACCATATTTGTTTCCTAATATGGATTCAAGGACAAAATAGGTCTCCACTATACCATATTTGATTCCTAATGTGGATTCAGGGACAAAATAGGTTCCCACTACACCATATTTGTTTCCTAATATGGGTTCGTGGATAAAATAGGTCCCCACTACACCATATTTGTTTCCTAATATGGATTCAGGGACAAAATAGGTCCCCACTACACCATATTTGTTTCCTAATATGGATTCAGGGACAAAATAGGTCCCCACTACACCATATTTGTTTCCTAATATGGATTCAAGGATAAAATAGGTCCCAACTACGCCATGTTTGTTTCCTAATATCGATTCAAGGATAAAATAGGTCCCCACTACGTAAATGTTTGTTTCCTAATATGGATTCAGGGACAAAATAGGTCCCCACTACGCCATGTTTGTTTCCCAATATGGATTCAGGGACAGAATAGATGCGTGAGTGCCTGTATACATGAATACGAGCGGTTAAACGTGGATGTGCGTGTGCGAGCATGCGTGTGCTTGTGTGCGCGCGTGCGACTGTGCGAATACGAACTTCCTTTATTAAGAACTAGGTCACTCATGTTGTAGCTCCGCATGGGTACCCAACTCAGAAGCAGTATATTGTGGACCGTCCTTTCTCTAGTACCCTTAGACTAACGCTTAGTCTCTGAACATATATAATTGTGACAGTAACAAATAAACCCATTTTAAATGGGTTTATTTGTACTGTCTCAACTCACTGGGGCTCCTTTTCAATTTAATTGAAAAGGAGCCCCAGTGAGATGTGAGATTCAGAAACCTGATGAAACCTAGACTTGCTTCATTTAGGGCTTCAGCATTGTAGGGAGGGACAATAATGTGGTCCAGGAACTGTGTGGCAGACCATAGAACCCTCAACTGCCCTGTGAGGTGAGGCGAGGTGAAATTGGGTTTACGTCGTGCTTGAGAATAATTCGCTCATATGACGACGTGCATGCGTGTGCATGTGTATGTGCGGCTGCTTGTACTAGCTCAGACTTAAGCTGGTTTTATAGTGCTAGCCCACTGAGATACCACGCCGCAGTGAAGCATGAATACCCCACTCAGACACATAATACTACTATAAGTATTAAGTATGTAAGGGGAACAATCAAATACAGACAGGAGGAATACTATGAGAAAAACAACGGAACAATCAACTGTAACTGTCTTTTGGTATGACGCGGTCGGGGATCGAACCCGCGACCTTCCGCTCTCCGGGCGGACGCTCTATCCACTACACCATGGAGGCGGTCTCAACTGCCATGTACCAGGCAGGGTATCAACAAGTAACACCAAAGTTTGCTAGGACGCAGCAGGGGGGATCGAACCACCGACCTCATCCTATAGCTAGGAAGCGAGATCTCGTGAGTTCCTGAAAGCAAACTCAACGTCGACGACTTCAGTCACTTCGTCATTTGTCCCACCTTACATATATATGTTGCAGTGTTGTTCAAAGCTATATATAACTCTACCACACTTACTAAGCAAGTTGTGGTCCGTGTTCCCTCATCAACATTGGTGTCAATTTTCAGTCTATTGTCACGACTGAATGCATTATGCCTACTAACACTGCCCTGATATTTTAAACATGATGGCATGTAATGCATACACTCTGCAACATCTAACGGGATTAGTAACAACCTTAGACGCCTACAGCACACCAGTCACCTGACATAAACACGGGACAATAGTGTGTGTATAGCTGATAATGCACTACTGCAGATGTTTACCTTCAACACTCGGGACTCCCAGGTACACACCCATAACACCGTAAACAAGCACGAAGACGTTCCAGCAAGTGTTCCAAGCCATGGCTCCTGTCTCTTGTCACTCTCCTTGTCTCTTGTCACTCTCCTGTGTCTCGTCACTCCTCACTGACCAGTCGATATGCAGTCTGCCAACATGTACACACGACTGTGAATCACGCAAGAGCTGCGATGCGGAGTAGCGACGGGGCTGTGTGAGATAGCGTGATATAAAGGTCAAGTTTAGTCTCGGGGTTCAATACGACGGCCTTGAGACGAAATTCGTCACCCTATGAAGGTCACGGGATTTAACCAGACAATAAGACGGCCTTTGTTACGCTTTCCCGCGTCTGTATGTATTGGGTTGTGGATCCAGCGTTTATTTTGTGTTGCAGCCGACTGCGTTTAACCACTACGAAGTTTACAACCTATTGCCTGGTATATGGTGAGCATATCTGGTGGGTATCTCCGTGTATTTATCCGTTCGTCAGCGTACATAGCTGAGCCTGGATTTTCGAAGCTCTCTTAGCACTAATATAGTCGTCAGTGCCATACATTAACATTAACTTACGACTATCTTAGCGCTAAGAGAGCTTCGAAAATCTAGGCCCTGGACTGCAGGGCGGTGGGGTAGTCTAGTGGTTAAAGCGTTCGCTCGTCACACCGGAGACCCGGGTTCGATTCTCTACATGGGTACAAAGCGTGAAGCCCATTTCTGGTGTTCCCCCCATGCTATTGCTAGGATATTGCTAAGAGCGGCATAAAACTAAACTCACTCACACTCACTCACTCTGTACTGCAACAGCGGTTGCTGCTTCAGGTAAATCTCTTGGTATTCAAATATTATTATCTTTTGGTATTCAAATATCATTATCTCTTGGTATTCAAATATTATTATCTCTTGGTATTCAAATATTATTATCTCGTTATTCCATGCTTAGTAAACTGTTTTTTCATCACGTCCCGATGGATAAGTTTCCTTTCTTTTTTTTGTATTTTGCGCTTTCTTCTTATTCTATTTATCATATCCAAATATGACAGGTAGGTGTTTAAATAACACGTCCCTACTTGACTGATCCATTGATTTATTTTGAACTATTTATCAATATTTGATTGATCCGATTTCTTCGTGTAGTATTTATAATACCCGCATTTGATCGGGTATTTATAGTGTGTATCACTCAGCAGCAAGAGCATCGATCTTCTTAGTTGGTATACGATAACCAGTCAGCGAGCCTGACCACCTGATCCCGTTAGTCGCCTCTTAGGACAAGTACAGGTTGCTGAAGACCAATTCTAACCTGGATCTTCACAGGTGCGATGGCAGAGGGTCGTATATTTTTCAACTGCTTTTTCATTCATTTTCTTTTCTAACAGTATTTATGTTACTTATATTTGATCCGTTTTCCCTTATAGAAGCTAACGTGTTCTGCTTAACTGATCCATTATATATTTTGTTATCTATCATACCCCTGTTTGATTGATCACTTTTCTTCCCATTGTATATCGATGCTTATGCTGTTGATCACTTGATTGTCTGGTCCAGACTCGATTATTTACATACAGCCGCCATATAGCTTGAATATTTCTGAGTGCGGCGTAAAACTAAATTCACTCACTTTTATTGTATTATCCTACTTACAGTTGTATTATCCTACTTACAGTTGATTGTTCCGTTGTTTTTCTCATAGTATTCCTCCTGTCTGTATTTGGTTGTTCCCCTTGCATACTTAATACTTATACACTCATTTATGATATTTATCAAATCAATATTGAATAGATACGACGCTATTCTCAGATGTATTCATCGCAATCATATTTGATTGATCCTATATTTTACTTATAGTGTTTAACTTGTCCATGCTTGAAGATCCAGTTGTTCTATTGCTCTATATCGTATACCAAACGTATTGGACCGCCTCCGTGGTATAGTGGTTAGAGCGTCCGCCCGGAGAGCGGAAGGTCGCGGGTTCGATCCCCGACCGCGTCATACCAAAATACGTTAAAATATGGTACTTGTTGGTCCCTGCCTGGCGTTCGGCATTAATGGGTACAACAAGGACTGGTCGGCTCGGAGTCAGTATAATGTGTCTGGGTGGGGTATTCATGCTTCACTGCGGCGTGGTATCTCAGTGGGCTAGCATACACACGCATGCACGTCGTCATATGAGCGAAATATTCTCAAGCACGACGTTAAACCCAATTTCACCTCACCTCACCTCACCAAACGTATTATTCCAATCGTATTATTGCAGTATTCATGAGATCTCAGTGTCAATTATCAAACAGTTAACACTACATATATTTATACAAATAGTGCTGACATAAGCTAATACAAAGTGTAACTATAAAAACGATTCTGGCAGATGTTGCGAACGGAATCTCGGTCCCGTTAACGTCAGTCCCGTTACGACAAGCAGGGCTGCTAAAGACAGATCTAACCCTGTTCTTCACGGGTAGGGTGGAGGGTCATTTATTTCTCAACAACTTTTTTCAATCAGTTTCTTTTTCCGCCCTGTAATCTCTATGTCTGAACCACTAACAAGTGTCATATTCACCAAGAACCTATTCCCAGTGGTATATATCACGATACCAAACACTGAGCACAATTCCTCTTGGAAACTAACATCTTTGACAACAGCAAATATCGCATTTTGTCGGAGATTGAGAAAAGCTGCGCTTTTCTTCTTTCTGTCGACAAGAATGCCAATTTCAAATCTGATCCACGTGTGTACGTCTTTGATATTCTTGATAAGATCCGTGTCATGTTTCACGTACACGTCACGCCCCGTCGTCGTCATGACGCAGACCCTTTCATGGTCCTTGCAGTAGGAGAGGCTCATCCTCACAGCGTCCTGGTGGTCAAGGGTCCTGTGAGCCTCCTTGGTCTGTTGACTCAAGGTTATCTCAAAGATGCTGTGGCCTGGCTTGAGGACATCAAGGAGTTTGACAGCTGCTTGCACTTCCCAGTACTGTGGGCTGTCGGTATAGGGGACGCCAGTGGTAGCACACATCTTCTTGGGCTTGTCGAGGGACATTTTGTGTCTGAGTAACGAATTGTGTTCTGCTTTGCTGTTCCTGTGTTCCTGTACATCCAGGCCGAGTAATGGACCTGTCAACGAAGAAATCATTGAGTCCAAGCGTTTAGAGAGTGATTTAGATGTTAGTATAGGACTTTCAATCACGGACATAGCTTTAAGATATTACAACATACTTGGTTGAAAACATATGAAATAATTATTCAAAATTATTGAAAAGTGTGATGAAACAAAAATGTTGAGGCCCTTTTTACTTACAATTTCGATGGGCGAAAAACCTTTTATGATTTTTGTTTACTTTTTGTTGTGGTTTTTTTATGTTTAATGCCGCAGCAATATTCCAGCTATTTGGCGGCGGGCTGTAAAAAATCGAGTCTGGACCAGACAATCCAGTGACCAACATCATGAGCATCGATCTATGAATTCTTATTAAGTTTGACACTTAATCCGCAAAAATACATAGCAAAATATCAGGCTTGGATTCCTCCACGCGTTGCACAGGGCCCCCGTTCCTCAAAGCGATCGTAGCGCTACGACTGTCGTAAGTCTATGTTAAAGTATTGGAGTTACGATCAACTTAGCGCTACGATTGCTTTGAGGAACGGGGCCCTGGTCAGTAAGGACAGAAAGTTGCATGGATATCCATGCAATCAACTAGTCTCGGAGTCTGACTTGTCGATGGATTTCGCCGCCTCTTATGAACGGCATCCCGCTGTATTTCAGTGAACCCTACAAATACTGGTTTGATGCTAACAGTTGCCGTGAAGCCAGTGAGTACTCACAGAGAACTGTTCTGGATGACCCACTGAGATATAGCTCCCTGACACCTCCATCGTTGTCAGAGGCATCTTTAAAACAACGACAATAATTAAACACTGGTACTGTGTATAGGAACAATCTCTGTGTAACATTGTGAGTGTGGATGGTACGCTGCTTATATAGCTATGTTTTCCATCAATATCACAGAGATGCAGACTCGTAAGGAATCGAACCCGGATCGTCGGCGTGAAGAGCGAACACTCTAACCAGTGGGCTACCCAACTGCCCTGTAACAAACTGAACCACAAGGATGAAGAGTGAAGGGGTGAATCGGATCCCAAACTAAGCACCAACTATTCACACTCGAATTACTTGCCGATTATGTAAAAAGAGAAGAAAAATATTTCGATATTTTACCATTTGGATAAAAACAAATGTTTTGGGTTTTTTAAAAATATTTGTACATTATAACCTACAAACAGAAAGAAATCAATATTTGGCCTATTAGAAAATGTCTCTTCGTGAAAATCATCACTATTTTCTTAAATTTCGCAGGTATGTTTCCCTTTACGCCTCAAGAAATCTGTTTCTGAGGATAGTCTAGATTGGGCATTCTTTTGTTTCGACGTTTGTAATTAAACACTGGTAAAGAACTGAAAACCACTTTCGATCTTTCAAACATAACTTTTGTTTGTATATTGTCAATATGTTTAAGGATGATATAACTTACCGCTGCTGCTGCTCACAGATCTGAATGGGACTGTATCACGTGACAGCTGAAACAGGCAGGACAAACAAAACATAACAGAATCCTTAAGTTTCGTAAACAAATTCCATTCCATACTCTTGATGATAACACTATCTCACTCCATACACGTTGAAGTTGTGATGTTGGTTCTTTATCACTCGATAACAGTCATTTTGACGCTGTTTTTCTTGATATTTGTATTCACTTTCTTATCCGCAGTTTGTAGTTCATAGCTGACAACACAGGAGAAAGGGAAATTGGCTCCTTGAACTGAATCCTCGACGGGAGGGAAATACCAATGACATGTCAGCTGATGTCATCTTAACCCTCTGGATGCCAAAGGGACATGTATATCCTTCCTCTTCAACTCCCACTTTGAAGTCCAATAAAATTCAAAATCAATCAGAACCGTGAAGATCCGAGTTAGAATTGGTCGTCAGTAACCCATGCTTGTCGTAAGAGGTGACTAACGGGATTGGGTGGTCAGGCTCGCTGACTTGGTGGACACATGTCATCGTATCCCAATTGTGTAGATTGATGCTCATGTTGTTGATCACTGGTTTGTCTGGTCCAGACTCGATTATTTTCAGACCGCTGCCATATAGCTGGAATATCGCCGAGTGCGGGGAGATTCCATGCACTTACCAAACTTGAAATGAAACATTGTTCCTCGAGATTTACCTTCATGTTAACACATACCTCCTTGGCATCACTCACTCACCTGGCCAAAGTGCATCACTCCATGTCTTCTCTCAGCTTTACCAGTTCTTGTTTCATGGGGTTCCCGTCGGTCCATTCGTGTTTCTATTTTAGATACTCTTGTTGGTGTGCCTTTGGCTTCTCCTCTTAGACCCTGGTGCGTTTGAAATAATATTGTTAACATCCTTTGATCAAATCTCATTTTGTCATTCTTTGGCTTTTTTTTAGAAATACATAGAACTCCAACGCCAGAGAATAACCAACCTCCACTACTGCCGAAATAGATTCTAAGAGAAAAAACAGTCTAAGTAAACTTTGTCCCCGATAATCTCCAGGGTATACGTTCCGATAAATCTCCACTACATCCTGGCTGCATCTACGGCTCCAGCCGATGATTTCATTACCTCCCTTTGCTGGCTTCGCATTCTCACAGTAACCAATCAGATAAGCCGCCGTTACAACCGAGCTTGCCAGTGTCAACAAAGATAGCGGTCTAAATCGAAAAAAATACATGCAAGAACTCCTTCTCCATCTTTCAGAGAACCTCTGCAACAATATACTATTATGTTGCCGAGTTTAATCGGTTAGATAATTTACAAAGCGAAAGTGAGTTGTGATTGCTACGCTCAACTTTCCAGCGTAGACATCTGATTGGATAAAAAGCCAACCAAGGAAGGCAATAACATCATCGGCTCGAGCCGTAGATGCATCCAGGGTTAAGTGGAGAGTGATCGTAAAGTATACACTGATAATTGAGGATGAGTAAACTTGGGCTAGGTATCATTCGTTACAATACTATACTGGAACTCATATAGCAGTATAGCAGTATAACGAATAATACTGAGCCTAAGTTTACCTAGACTAAGAGAAAAACGTATATGAATGGATCTCTGGGGGTCCTTGGTGAAACCAGGTACACGCCTGAGTGTTAATTGGAAAGAAATATGAGCTGACGTAATTTGCCCCACTCATATAAAAAATACCGATTGTTTGATTATATTAAGTATGGATTTACTGCTAAAAAAGTTTATAAATGTTGAGCTAAGTATGAATAGAGAAGACCGTTTTCGTCCTACCGAGTTTAAGCAGAAAAGAAACATTAGTGGAGGAATAAATTAGATAAAACCAATAGCTTCTCGTATTGAAAAACCATTTTACCGAATTGCCCCTGAAAGAAATGCGTTAAAGAACATGCCTTTACTAACGGGTGAGTGAGTGAGTGAGTTAATATTTAACGTCACATCGGCAATATTTCAGCCATATCGTGACGAGAACATTTGATATTGAAATAAAATATATGTATATCATAAAAAACCTGCCGACGAAGGACAGTAAAACAACTAGAATATCACAGATATGTATGTCCTTTACTAACGGAAAAATGTCACTGTACTTCATGTAAAGTTCAAAAATAATATATTTGTTCTGAATTGAAATAATGCATTTTTCAAAACATGCTCATGGGGTCATCTCGACATTTTAGGTCCACGGTTCACAATTTGCACATGCATTAATGCACGGTGCATAATTTGGCTGTCCTTTGAATGTCCTTGTAATGTGAACATCACACAATAACTTTTCAGCTCACATGCTCTTGGAAACACTTTTCTTTAACAGGTAATAACGTTTAGTGAACACGACGACTGACCCCAAATCAACGTGTGCACGCTTCAAACAGGAAATCCACAACAGAAGTTGCCCAACATTTAATGTTCATCGAACACACTCTCATGTCTTTGAGGACGTCACGTAAAGCCGGGTAATACTCGTGACTTGACACGAGCCACTCCACCAGGTTAGAGGTAACGTGATCAAGACAACCTCATTCGGTTGCTGCATCTATGGAATCGATACCGAACTTCCGGGACATTAACTGCCGGGACCATTGCTGGGTTGAGACAAATCATTGGCAGAGCCGTCTGGAACCAGGTAATGGAGCACAACATCATCTCTGACGTTCATCAATACGCACAACATCGACAGACAAGCCTAGTTTGGTGGGGATTCAAAAGACAAAACGGGGATAGTTTCCTGTTTAGAGATGAGTTTCACCCAGACAGCACTAGTGGTGGCGCAAAGGTATCCAGGCCTCCAGGAGAACGGTAAAGCAACGCTTGCATTACTCGACGTCGTCAGTGTTCTATGTGGAAGTGACGCGATGGGGTAGCCCAGTGGTTAAAGCGTTCGGTCGTCACGCCGAAGAACCGGGTCCCCACATGGGTACAATGTGTGAAGCCCATTTCCGGTGTCCCCCGCAGTGATTTTGCTGGAATATTGCTAAAAACGACGTAAAACCAAACTCATTCTAGGTGGAAGTGTACTGGTATTAGGGTGTCATCACAACTCATTGGAAAACACAGTGGCATATTGTGGCTTACGGTGGCATACAGTGGCATACACTATCGGGACGACGTAGTTCGCGATCAGATTCCCCCTTTTGAGATAATCCAGGGACATAAACGTTACATGGCAGCAGGATAATGCTCGCCCATATGTTGCACGTGAAGTAACAGACTTTTTGACACAGCTTACTATCGCTGTGCTGCTCGGCTATGTCTCCCTATTGAACAGGTCAGGGATGGAATGAGATGAGATTGAACGACGCCCACGACAGGATTAGGACAACATGCTGATATTTTCAATAACGTAACATTTCGACTTCATATGAAATACGGTAACTGCTTCTGTGAGTATACACATTTTGACCATCAGCTCTACTGTTCAAATCTTTATGACATACCACTTTGCCCGGACGGGTATTGCCGATCTCTTGTTTATTGGTTACACGATGTCTCCGGGTACCCTTCACCTGAGGTGTTCCAGCATCCCCCATCTTAGATCGGGCCTCCTCCAGCCTCCCTACACGTATCTCCAGGTCGGATATCTTCCCCAGCGTTCCTTTAACCTTCCTCTCTATGTCCTGGGGTATATGGTACAAAACATCCATTACAATGGCTATCCAAATGACCGTTGGGTTATAAAATATTGCATTACGTTATCTCTCCAAATTATAATTATTATACGATATTTATATAGCGCACATATCCAGGCAACTAGTGCTTGCTCAAGGCGCTGGTATTTTGTCCCTCGAACATTGGATGTCAATGATCTCAACGGCACATCGTATTATCAATCTCAACTCCCTGGGGCGTATGAAACTCTTGCAGCCACTAGGCGCACCGAGTTATTGTGGCTTTTTTCATCCTAACGAGGTACCCATTCACAGCTGGGTGGACTGTACTTTGTCCAAGTTCACTGCACGTTGCTGTACCCGCGGCCAGGTGTTTGCACGTATTCATATGGCCACCATCTGGTCATATACCAACAGATTCGTGGGTTCTTTTAAGTGCACAGGGTTGTGTACTGTACACTAGGGGTTGTGACAACACTGAAAGAGTCTGCACACAAAGTTGAATCCAAGGTTTTTACACCCGGTCACAGGTGGGCTCGACCCCGGCACCTCAACCTCGCTGGATCACTGGGCTTGGCGCCTTAGACAGCTCGCCCACCGCGCCCCCATCATCAACTGGATTGATAAACCATCATGTGACAATTTCTGCGACCAGACACGGACTCTGGACCCTGTAAGTGCTATAAATACAAGCGACAAATCCATTTCCATATCCATAAGAAACCTCTGAGTCATGTCCAACTATGCCATGAGCAGGTGTTCATGAATCACTATAAAAAACGTGATGATACCAGGTGTTCGCGAAAAGGTGAGCGTATCCTGCCCCACCGGTGACACCCGTCACAGACGTGCAAAGGCTAGTCAACTGTTCACCTAAACCAATCCGGACCTTATGGCAAGTCAAAATAGGGAATTGCACTGGACATCATTTTCGTCAAAATTTGAAAATTCCTCCACATGTCTTCCATAACACCTTTAGAAAGCTTTACTGAGATGTTGAATGTTATAACTTGGATCTTCCCGCCATACCGGTGCCTCCAGTCAAAAATACAAGCTAAGATTAGTTAAGTTGTTAACCTGAAAAGTCTCAACAATGTAATGAACACTGTCGTAGGTAAACAAACGTCTTAAAATCAAATCATGCTTGTGTTGTCTCCCATTACAAGACGGGCATATGTATACCAAATCATTGCTTTGGCTGCCATACGTATTGTATTATACTCATCTGAGCATGCATCAAAATCGTTTCCATGACGATATTGCCCCATTGTACTAGGTGTGCAGCACTAGCCTCGAGCGTCTCGGCACCCACGGACCATAGGATATTTAGACAGTAACTAACGAGTGACGGGGAATGACTGATTATCTTTCCCCGAGTTATATTAATTACGTAATTCTCGAGCCCTGTATCACCGTCTCTGTCTTTCCAGTCCTACCTCACTACACAGGCAGTGTGTCTTACCTTCTGTCTGTTTACAAGACACACATCTACCACTAGACGAAATGTGTAATTTCCAAACTATACTAGTATCTATATATTCACACAGAGAACATTAAAACTATCTAGGTCCATACAGTCATAAGTGATGGCGAGTCCTGAGCATAAAACATTTGAAAGTTTTCTCTTGAAAATCATGAAATCAGACCCCTGGTGCAAAGTTTGGAAAGATCGCTTGTTCCATATTCTTACCAAATATGGAAACACTGTTTTCCCCCCAGTGTTCTGTCGGGTTTGTGCCTGCTTCTCATGGTGCGCCGACCTGTTCTGTTCCAACTCACTCACACGTCTTTCCAGCGCAGACACCATGTCCTGTATAACAAAAAGAATATCTACGTCGTTATGCCGTTCAAACCACATGTTATATTTGGGATAATACTTTCTCAGTAAAGTACAGATTCTAGTACAATTGTGTGCTGGCGATTAGGTGCCGGACTCTGATGGTGTGGGTTCGAATCCCCGGATTTGACTCAACCCATCCAAAGTTCTCGAATCTGTACTATACTGAGAGAGTATAATCCCAAATATAACGTGTTACATTTCACCTCTTTCTAAATGGCATTGTGTATTTCAAACTCTTCTGATTTGAAAGAATGTTATTTGTTGTAGAATTACTCATATACACTATTTGAACACGTGCCCTGGTTTCGTCACCATTTAAAAAAACCGTTCTGCATGGTTACATGTGAGTATTTCTGTGCAGATTATCATATGGTATTTGTCTGAAGATCATGTACATGTATATAATCCATCAAAACTTTCGTAAAGCATCTACTAATCCCAATGATTGCATCTCACAGAAGTAAACTCACTCTGCTGCTGTTGGAACCTCTTGGAGTTAGCTGGGGGCGTTTCTGAAGCTCCTCCACAACTGAAATTGAAAGTACAAAACGCTCTGTACGAAGTCTCTGTTAAAGCAAAGTTACTGAAACATCGTGCTATTCCTACCATGTGATAAATGAATGTTAAATAATGAAACACTATCAGCCTCAGGTGATATATGTTTCAGTTTGCAAACTTTAGGGTGTTGAATATTCACATTTTATTTGTGAAAACATTAGCTATAAAAACGACGGAGTCAGTATTCTGTGATTGATTGGGGTATCATTGTTTAATCTGCGGAATGGTGTCACAGTGGGCTAGCACTCTGAAACAAGCTTAAATCCCGACTTTTTGCAATCAGACACACACGCAGGCACGCACGCACACACGCACATATGTCCAAGCTCATCGCCATAGAAATGACATAATCTTGAAGGCAACAGAAACGCTCTCTTCACCTCACCTCACACGACACTGCAATGAATGTTATATTTATGCGAGACTTTCACTCAGTTTCATTGGTGGTTAACATGTAGGACTCCCATCAATATAAGATGATGAGATCATATTCAAACGGTCTTACTTCTTCGCAGACTTCTGACTTCCTGTTCCAGCCAATCACCTCGTGAAGACCACAGACCCTGCCGCTCCTAGTGTCAACCATATGTCAACATAAACACATGGCAGTGTTCGATTACTATTCATAGAAGAGCGACAAGTTTTAAATCAATAAATAAAATATGCTTTTCTTGTGTTGTTACTTCAGCACACATCAAAGTTGTTTTAGCTATTTTTTTAAACCTCACTGTAAAACAGTTGCCATGGAAACACTTGTTTTGAATAATCATCAAATGAGTCTCTTCTTCTATTCAAAGCTCTGTTTACCCCAAAACCGTGGCTCAAGTCACTGTACTATTTTCATCGTCACGTGGGGTTTACTTCCCATAATTCCATAGTTTGCTTGAGAACTCCTCCACTACTTCTACTAATTACAAAGATAATTAATATTGTATATAGCTCTAAACTCCAATTAACAAATTCCCAGAAGTCCTTTGAAAATGTTCTAGACATAGATATATACGTTTAATTGCAGGTGCAACAGGTGAACCGATTCATGAGGTTCCATTTATATAGCGTTTTAGATATGAAATACCCAATGCCATTTTAGAAAGTGGTCAAATGTAACATATGTTATATTTGGGATTACACTTTCTTAGTAAAGTACAGTTTCTAGTAATTTTTGGGTTGAGTCCCATCCGGGATTCGAACCCACACCCTCAGAGTCCGGCACCTAATCGTCAGCACACAAAGTCAGACGCCTAGACCGCTCAGCCACCGCGGCTTCCACCGTGGCTGAGCGGTGATTAGGTGCCTGACTCTGAGGGTGTGGGTTCGAATCCCGGATGGGACTCAACCCCAAAAGTACTAGAATCTGTACTTTACTAAGAAAGTGTAATCCCAAATATAACATATATTACGTTTTTGATATGCATGCCGAAAGCTCTTTAATACTCACATGTTGATGTGGTGGTTCGCTAGTTGCCCCATGTCCTCTACCTCCTCCATCTGTAGTTCCTTAAAGCATCAACACGTGTTGCTATAAAAAAATACCGTCAATAAGCCAAACAACGTTGTGTCGAACCTTGGTATGACGAAATCGCGGTCTCGATGTAAACGTTCGGTCCCTACCTATTCTTAATTTATCGCCATTTTGTTGTATCGAATCTTGGACAACTCGAAGTATTAATGCATGCTCCTTTACTTTCTTCCAGAGACATAATAAAATCCTAGCGATGTTCAAATGTATGTACCAGAATATTTTGCACATTTCATTTATCTTTTCTACAATGTGTCGAGAACCGCTGCCATTAACACATTTTATGTGTTCTTACATTAACAAGTCCAGATCTTTACAGACATCAAACGTATACTAGGTGAACATTTTTCCCTGAGAGATTCAGGGGTAAAATATACCCCAAGCATATGCTGGTCGGAGGAATCGATTTAACGGATTGGGTGGTCAGATTATATGTTTTGGTTGATAGTATGATAGACAGACGGCATGGACAGCTCATAATATCAATCACATGTTTGTTTGGTCTTAGCTCAAATATTTTCATCTGGCTGTCATATAGTTGGTTTTGTGATTAAAATGGATGAGTGTGTTTAGTTTTACGCCGCACTCAGCAATATTCCAGCTATATGGCGGCGGTCTATAAATAATCAAGTGTGAAACAGACAATCCAGTGATCAACAGCATAACCATCGATCTGCGCAGTTGGGATACGATGACATGTGTCAACCAAGCCAGCGAGCCTGACCACCCGATCCTGTAAGTCGCCTCTTACGACAAGCACGGGTTACTGAAGATCAATTCTAACCATGATCTGCACTTGTATATAATGGATGAACGCTGTTGTATTTAGTTAGGACCTTCTGTTTGCTGATTCAGCGATTACACTTCGTTAAATCTGAAATTAAGTGGCCATATCTGTGTATGTAATGATTACCACCCTACCACTTGCTCCTTCCTCTTGGTCCATATCGGCAACACAAATAATAACACAATCTCAGATGGGGTGTGCTAAGTTGCAGCTCCAGCAAGTGTCTGTATTCATACGCCACACTCGAGGTAAACGTCCCGTCTGGAGAAGGGATAAAAATATGTAACAGTCACAACGCATAATGTGTTGGCTAATCTCAGTTCTCAGGAACATACATTCAGACAAATGCGGTTCTATAATTCTACTCAAACGAACCAAAAAAGTGTTTGCTTGTTTGTTTAACACCACATGCACACAGCAATATTCCAGCTGTATGACACCGTTATGAAGGGAATCAAGTCTGAACCAGACAATCCAGTGATCAGCAGCATGAGCATCAATCTACGCATTTTGGGATACCATGACACGTAAGTCCCTTTAACTTCGACACAACAATGTTTGATTGTACCTAATGGCTGCGCGATTGCGAGATTTGTCCACTTGCTTGAAGATACAATACCTAATCACTTTGATGCCTGCAGAAGTATGCTCGTTTGAATCTTTGAAGGGCATTTAGAAGTGGAATGCATAAGAAAAGCAAGATATATGGATGTCAACTTCTTTATTGTGAATAACACGACGTTCGGAGCGTATATGCTTGCTCCTTCATCAGGTGATGAAGGAGCAAGCATACACTCCGAAACGTCGTGTTATTCACAATAAGGAAGTTGACATCCATATCTATTGCTTTTCCTATGCTCATTTGGTGGAAATGCGACCTTTAAATGTTGTCATACTTTAACAGTGTACTATGTATCATTCAATGTTAGGCTCAGTTTTGTCAGTAACTTCTTATGTTGCCTAATCGAGGGATGTATTTATTTCTCATCCAAGTGATACAAGTTAATTGGCAATATAAACCTAGTAGATATCACTGACTCATTGCGTGACAGAAACCAATTTGACTCAAGGTGTGCTCAGGTGTGTTCAGGTGTGACGCTGAGTTTAAGAGTATCAGAATCGGCATCGGTCCATGAGGTTCTAGTAAGTGCAGCTTAGTGTCTAGTAGTGTGGACTGCTCCGGTTGATTACGTGTATTAAGACGAGATACGTAGATCACATTGACAACATTGTCTTGCATAAGCTGTTCAGTTGACAAACCCATACCTCTACCGGGGAGACATGACAAGGCGTATGGAGGGGGAATTCAGTACAGACTAGGCGAAGGTTAGGTCACACATACAGTTAGTCATGTTTCTCGTTTATAGTTTTTTTAGTGAGCGGGTATGGTTTTACGCCGCTTTTAGCAAGATTCCAGCAATATCACGGCAATGGACAGCGGAAATAGGCTTCACACGTTGTACCCATGTGGGGAATAGAACCCGGATCTTCGGCGTGACGAGCGAACGCTTTAACCACTAGGCTACCCCACCGCCCCTGTATGATAGTGTAGCAGTTGATCCGGACTCGATTATTAACAGACCTCAGCCATATAGCTGGAATATTGTTGGATGCGGCGTTAAACAACATACCAACCAAGTTAATGGAGGAAGAGAACATACAATGTTCCGTAAATAGCTGAGTCAATTTCTAAAGTGTTTTAAAATCAAACACAAGTAACAAAACGCCACAAAGTTAAATAACATACCAACAACAAGATTAATGGATTACGACTATAAGTAGTTTAAATTATTTCGTTCTCTCTCATATGTTATATTACACCGCTTACCTCCAAACACACTGTCAACGGACAAGTCGCCCTCTGAAGACGCAGTTGCCTCCTAATGAACAAATATCACGTATCTGTGCAAATGGGGGTAAGGTTATAACAATGTCAGGTGACAACCTTTGACAGCTCACTAATCAACCTCTATGTAAGATTTAGACGATCAGATTACAGTCTGGATTGACTGGCCCCAAGGACGTATTAGCGGCCAATCTCCCTGGACAGACGCCAAGACGGACAAGTGGGATATGTATTTATATTATAAGTAATAGGAGTAGTAGTAGTGGGCATGGTAGCCGTAGTGGAGGTAAAAGTAGTTGTGGTAGTTGTAGTAGAAGTAGCTGTGTTGGTTGCATTAATAGTAGTAGTGGTGGTAGTAGTAGTGGTAGTGGTAGTAGAATGTGGTGGTAGTAGTAGTAGTGGTAGTAGTAGTAGTAGTAGTGGTAGTAGTAGTAGTAGTAGTGTAGTAGTAGTAGTGGTAGTAGTAGTAGTAGTAGTAGTAGTGGTAGTAGTAGTGGTAGTAGTAGTAGTGGTGGTAGTAGTAGTGGTAGTAGTAGTAGTAGTAGTAGTAGTAGTAGTAGTGGTAGTAGTAGTAGTGGTAGTAGTAGTAGTAGTGGTAGTAGTAGTGGTAGTAGTAGTAGTAGTGGTGGTGGTAGAAATAGTAGTTGTAGTAGTAGTTGTAGTGGTGGTAGTAGTAGTAGTAGTAGTAGTTGTTGTGGTGGTGGTAGAAGTAGTGGTAGTAGTAGTAGTGGTAGTAGTAGTAGTAGTGGTAGTAGTAGTGGTAGTAGTAGTAGTGGTGGTAGTAATAGTAGTAGTAGTAGTTGTAGTAGTAGTAGTGGTAGTAGTAGTAGTAGTAGTAGTAGTAGTAGTGTAGTGGTAGTGGTAGTAGTAGTAGTAGTAGTAGTTGTAGTGGTGGTAGTAGTAGTTGTAGTAGTAGTTGTTGTGGTGGTAGAAGTAGTGGTAGTAGTAGTAGTAGTAAATGTGGTAGTGGTAGAAGTAGTTGTGGTAGTCATAGTCGTAGTCGTGGCAGTAGAAACAGTAACGGCAGCAGGAATGGCACAAAGATGCGAACCTAGGCACTTTTCACATGTAAATAGCACAGCTTTGTGGATCTACTTCTGTAGCGGACAGAGACTAACAGTAACTGCTGTCGATAAGAAAGAAATATATTTATATTAGGTTTCCCAGTTGTCATATCGGTTGTCAGATATGAAATAGTTGATATTACATACGTGATATATCAGCGTATATGAGTGAGTGAGTTCAATTTTACACCACTTTTAACAATATTCCAGCTATATCACGGCGGGGGACACCAGAAATAGGCTTCACACATTGTACCCATGTGGGGAATCGAACCCGGGTCTTCGGCGTGACGAGCGAACGCTTTAACCACTAGGCTACCCCACCGCCTTCAGCGTATATGAACGTATTGTAATTATACTGTTTACATACATGAATAAAATACACTTGCTATATAATTACGTACGTATGTAACAGTCCGTTACACTAAAGCCGATTCTAGTTTTCGCCCCTGCTAAACAAATACCACATCCCGTCACAGTTCATTGAGCAATTATAACTTTACCTTCAAAAGAGTTGAGCTAAAATGTTAAGAGTTTTTGATTGATTGAAACGGAAAGGGGTCAAACAATCTGATTACTTTGTCTAAAACATATCGGGAATTGCAATTGAGGTATTACCAAAGGCGAACAACCATTGACATGAACAGAAATAATAAACAGGTTAGACTGAACAAATTATTGATCTAAATTATTTTGTCCGTTCCAAACTGCACGTATGTAGCAACCGGAACTGGGATAAACAGTCCACAATTTCGTAAAACCCTATGTTACACACGTAAAGAAATCGGGACAACGTGTAGACTACACTCATAGCGTGCACGCAATAATCCGATGTTTTAACGACCAAACTCTGCGTGGGTCTGTGTTTTCGTTGCGCAGATCTGTACGCAGAAGGTCCATACTGAAACAGATCATGCAAATCTTCAAGTCTCTATATAAATGCAGACCGATTGTCTTGTCCTTTCAAGTGACTGTTTCAATTTGTTTTCATCCAGTGAACCATGGCACGACATTTGGGCACGGGTGTACTGTATTAGATTGCATGTTTTTATTCTTAGTCGGTAGAAATAGTTTCAGGGTGTTCAGTATGTTGTAACTCCCGTTTCCCGATCGTCTGTGTCTAATGTGTAATGTCCCACAATCACATATGCTAAAAGCCGTGATGGTTCGGGTTAGACCTCGTCTCCAGCAGCCATCATTATGGAAAGAGGCGTCTACAGAGATTGCGCGGTCACGACTGGTGACTTTGGTTGATGCATGTGACAGCACAGGCTTTTGATCGGCTGCCAGTCCGTGAGATTTGAATCCACTCTTTATATATCTTTAGTTTGCAAAAGAAAAGGTTAAATGTATAATCCGATTATGATTTTGTCAGTGCCAATGGTTCACTAATCACGAATATAAGAAAGTCCGGAATGAGTTGGGTTTTTTATAAAGTTGAAATAGTACAGCTAAACAACTGTAAGCTACATGTAAGCTTTGACCTCATTCGTCACCAACTCTAAGTCTTCTTGGAGTTTACGGAAAGGGGCGAGTGGTGACGAAGGCCTTGAACTGAAAAACTAGTGGTTGACGGCATGAGCACGCCTTCATGCTACGAAAGATACTCACCATGTCAGGTCACGTATTGTGACGAACATTGTGCACCTATTGTGTTTGTACGCATTCCATAAAGCGGTCATATGCTGTCGTACACCATTGTTAACGTATGGTGAGGTGAGGTGAAATTGGGTTTAGCGTAGTGCTTGAGAATATTTCGCTCATATGACGACGTGCATGCGTGTGTATGTGTATGTGCGGCTGCTTGTACTAGCCCAGACTTAAGCTGGTTTTATAGTGCTAGCCCACTGAGATACCATGCCGCAGTGAAGCATGAATACCTTACTCAGACACATTATACTGACTCCGAGCCGACCAGTCCTTGTTGTACCCATTAATGCCGAGCGCCAGGCAGGGACCAACAAGTACCATATTTTAACATCTTTTGGTATGACGCGGTCTGGGATCGAACCCGCGACCTTCCGCTCTCCGGGCGGACGCTCTAACCACTACACCACGGAGGCGGTCGTTAACGTATCGAGTTTACATTAAGACCACTTTGGTGATGGATGCTTGAGTTGACAAACAATGTAGGTGTTTGTTTTGGACCTTTACCCGAGCTCACCATTCTTTATAGCTTCTTCTATACAGTAAAACAATGAACATGTTCTGAAATAAAATACAATTTATTACAAAACCAAAAAACAATAACATCAAAACAATTGACAAAATATTTTTTGGGTATAGGCACATGATGTACAAATATAAAACCGTGATTAAGAAAAAACAGTTTCGACTGAGATCCAAGTTCGTTTGTATCAAATCCGAGTTCCAAAAATCAGAGTCCAAAAACGTTCCATATTGAAAGCACAATGAGGAATAGTCTGAGAAATGTGGCTGTTATATCAATAGCCATATCTGTGTCCATACTGAGCATATCCATAGCTCCTATTTCCATATCCGCATCCATTCTGGGCATATCCATAGTTGTCAATGCAATGTCCGTATCCACACCGAGCATATCCATAGCTGCCAATGTCATATCCATATCCATACTGAGCATATCCATAGCTCCTATTTCCATATCCGCATCCATTCCGGGCATATGCGTAGTTGTCAGTGGCATATCCACATCCAGCTGGATGATATCCGTATTCGTTGATGTTGTAGGTGGCGCTGTAGCCGTAGGGGAGTGCTACCTGTAAAACAACGGCGGTTTCATTTGTTCCAGATTAGTGCAGACATTACATAAACCAGAGCTAAATAGGCATCAAGTGCTAGCTCTAATTTGATTTGACTTGGTAACGTGACAAAGGGCACGTGACCATACGCGGAAGCTACCAATCATTGTAAGGTTGTCCATTTTGAAAATAAATGTACTGACTGCATGATATTTGATAGGGGTGGAGTTAAAAATATGAATTATTTGTGACATGGTGTGGAAAAAAGTAAAACAATGTCATATTACTCCTTTCGCGGAAATATGGACCGCAAATATCTAGCAACAATCAAAGGACACTTAGAATGTTAAATGACGCTGCCTAAGCTAGATCAGGGAGACTATATAACGTTGTAGATTTTCTTATCCCTGGCTAGACGAAGCGTTTATTAAAACTACCATAATATTGTCTGAACAGAGTTGGTGCCGTCAGGTCTCAGACTCAAGAAACGTGTGGATTTACACTGAAGAAAATAGCAATGACCAACCCGTTGATGAGTGTATTCACACTGATGAGTCTGTTCAGCGTCACAAGGTTGGCTGAAACAAAGGATGTGCTTACATCAGGGTGGATACATGCGTGAGTAGAACAGTCCTGGCTCTCGATCCACAAAGCCTTCGTAACGTTACGACCTGTCGTAACTCTACAGTTTACCATAGGCTTACGAATGTCGTAGCGCTACGAATGTTTGGCAGATCGGGACCCAGGACCGGATCAGCTATACATCATACATGCGTAAGTAGAACTTTCGAACCCTGATTGTACGATGCCACCGCGTTCAAAGATACAGATGCATCTTTTTTTTAAGCCTAACTCTTTGTGTCCAAGCGTGCTGACCTACGTGGCTGATTATAAACAGGATCAACTGACAGTATACTCCCGCAAGTTTTTTAGCTAGTCAAGCATGTTTTTTTCTGGACATTGCTGTAGACTAATCCATTAGGTTCATCATAAAGTCAATGTCGTTCTTTGTTTGTAACGTAACGTCACACTCAGCAAAATCCATTATAAGATTGTTTTACGGTTTTTTTTGTGCTTTTGTCGAAGGGTAACAGTCACAATTTGTATAATTCAGCCAATCAGAATCGCGGAAATAAAGATAACACAAACCCTTTGTAATTATATGACGTTAATGTGCAGTGTTTAAACTATAATACTCTCCAGGGCCCCGTTTCACAAAGCTATCGAAGCGCTACGACTGTCGTACGTCTATGCTACAGCATAGGAGGTACGATTCCTACGAGAAAAGTTACGAGATCTTAGGCTTACGAGAGCTTTGTGAAACGGGGCCCAGGTTGCCGTTGTACATCGCGATCTTAGCGTTAAGGTGATAGTAACTCCCATACTTTAACATATACCTAAGATAGTCTTAGCATTATCATTGTTTGGTATAACAGCACCCAGATCAGTGACGTCATTTTGTTATTATGTGTTCAGATTGTCTTTTAACTTTTTGTTTTGAATCAGTGCCCTTTAGGACATGAAACAATGGGACACATGCATGGATATGACTGAGGAGACGGATGGATTATTCTAGATTCAATAACAGTCGAGAGAACCAATGCATTATTAAGACATTTGTGGCGGTCTGTATTACCTGTTGTGGATGGACGTGCTGGTGAGGTCAGGACCCGCCCCCTCACTGACGTCACTCAAACAGGTCACGTGCAAGGCTAATGGGAGTGTAAAGCAAGCGATACAGAACAGAAGAAAATAAACAAAACATAAAATGATAGGACGGAAATCAGAGTGAAAGAGAAAATTACACAAAAGATGTGGAGATATTGGAGAAAGCGTTAGACAAAGGAAGTGTTAGAATAGACAGAACAAAAGATGATACAGCGACCCTGTCAGAGGATTCCGTAGAGAGAGAAAAATATGATATTAGTGTATGAAATCAATGAGTCACATGGTGCAGGCGTATGTAACATCACGCATTGATTACTGCAACTCGTTGCGCAGTGGTATTCCAAATCATGTGCTACACAAACTACAGAGAGTCCAGAATTCAGCCGCAAGATTGATCAGCAGAACAAAGAAAATTGACCACATTACCCCTGTCATGAAAAATCTCCATTGGCTCCCAATCAAATTCAGAGTCCAATACAAAGTATTGCTTCTTGTTTTTTAAATGCATCCATGGACTGGTTCCAGGGTATCTTTCACAACTTGTAAAACGCTATGTGCCAATCCGATCTCTTCGCTCCAGTGTCCAATCTCTTCTGCAAATTCAATGTACAAGAACAAAGTCTTTTGGTGACCGAGCATTCTCTTCAAATGGTGCAAAACTCTGGAAAAATGTACCACAAGAACTTCGATCACTGACTGAACTTGCATCTTTCAAAAGCCAGTTAAAGACTCATCTTTTTACCAAAGCTCACCTTTAGCTCCAGCGTGGACTCAGAGCGCCTTTGCGCGATTACATCGGATTCTGGCGCTATAGAAGTATTTGTATGTATGTATGTATTGTATATGTGTGGCAGGTTCCCTATCAATGTTGAGTAGTATAGACACAGAGTTGCCCATGTCACAATGTAGACTTTACCTTCCACGCTCCGTCTGATGTCCTGGACTCGCTCATCCCCCATCGTCTCCAGGAACAGCTTCTCCTGCAGCTGTAGCGTAGGTAACATCTTTAACAGACAACACATCGCAGGGACTATGAGAGGGTGTACATGTATCGGGTCTTCTGGCATTACAACTGGCTAAGATTTCATAATTTGCGTTCGTGGATGAATGTCACCATCCTCGATATCTCCAGGGTATACGTTACGATCACTCTGCGCTTTACCCTGGATGCATCCACGCCTTGGCCCGATAATTATATTACCTCCCTTTGCTGGCTCCGCATTCTCACAGTAGCCAATCAGCTAAGCCGCCGTTACACCCGAGCTTGCCAGTGTCAACAGCTTGACAGCGGTCGCAGTCCCGAAGGTTTGTTCGCAGTACAACTCAGATTTGAGAAATAATACAAACAAATTGACAGATCTGATACTTTAAAAATTATGTAAAAGAACTCCTTCCACATCTTCAGAGTACCCTCTGCATCCATTGTGTTGCCAAGTTTAAACGGTTAGATAATTTAAGAAGTGAAAGTGAGTTGTGACTGGTTCGCTCAACTTCCCAGCGTAGACACCTGATTGGATAAAAAGCCAGCCAAGGGAGGTACTAAAATCAACATAAAAAGCCGTGGATGCATCCAGGGTATAGTGCAGAGTGATCGTAACGTATACCCTGGAATGGAATGTCACATGGTAAAAGGATATTGTAATTATGATCCCAAGTGTCAAACAGAAAATTACCTAAGCCTAGCGTCTTCAGTTCCAGCTTTTGTAGCATTTACATTTATTTCCGGAACCAGACAGTCAGCATAGGCTGTCTTGGAAAAAGCGATCTTACTCAAATTTAAGGCAGTCGTAGTGCTGAGATCGCTTTGTGCATGTGGGCAGTTGACATTACTTAGAATGTCCTTAGCAAAGTGTCCTTTGTGCAAGCGAGTCTAGATACATAATTCTGTAACTTTCTGCCAAGTGCACTCACCCGTTTTCTGTGTCTCCGTCCGCCTTTTTTGCCCCGTCTGGTCTTCTTACCAACAACCTTGGGCACAGCTACGGGAGACTGCATCAGAAGGAGAAGATTACACATCTAAACTTATTACAGTGAAAAGTTTATTGCGGTTTGTACGAGTACAAACAGTTTTATTCAGTAGGTCCAAATTTATGGAAATTATACAAATATACATACATACATTTACATACCTGATTAGTGCGTGACATGTAAAAAAGTAAGTTAGCTTTACATTTAGTCTTGTTATAACACTTTTTCTATATAGGTATGGATGTATTAAACTAATGGGCTAAAGGAAGTCTTAACTTCGGACTTTCAATATCTCCTAATTAGCCTTCCGGAAAATATGTATTCAACGCAACATTAATAATAAATAATAATAATAATAATGGATTTATATGGCGCCTGGTATCCAACTCTAAGCTGTTCAATGGCGCATCACAAAGCCTAATAGGCTTCCAGAGTAGAGATAGGTTTTTAGTTGTCTGCGGAAAGAGTCAATTGTTTCTGCACATCGTATTTTCAGTGGAATAGTGTTCCAGAGCATTTGGGCGTGGCTGGCTTGTTTTGTCCTGGTTTTTGGGACAATGAGTTGGCCTTTGTTCTCCGACCTTAGACTCCGTGCAGGTGTGATAGGACTAATCAGGTCTTTTAGATATACGGAGGTATCCGGATCTTTCACTGCTCCATATGTCAGAACCAGTGTCTTCAACTTTATCCTTTGTTCGACAGGTAGCCAGTGAAGTTGATTGAGGACAGGTGTGATGTGGTCGTTTGGTTGGTCCTGGAGATCACTCTTGCCGATCTATTTTGCACTTTGTGCAGACGCTGGATATTTACGACTCCATACAGTAGCGAGTTGCAGTAGTCCAGCCTTGATGTTACGTAGCAATGGACTAGTAGTTTTGTCGTATCGGTGTCAGGGTAGCGTCGGATCTTCCCGGTGTTCCTCAGATGAATGTTCGCTGTCCTGCATGTGTTCAGAGCTTGCTGGGGCAGTGGGGTATCCCAGTGGGTAAAGCGTTGGCTCGTCACGCCGAAGACCCGGGTTCGAATCCCTACATGGGTAAAATGTGTGAAGCCGATTTCTGGTGTCCCCCACCGTGATGTTGCTGGAACATTGCTAAAAGCGGCGTAAAACCAAACTCATTCAGTCATTCAGTCAGAGCTTGCTGGTGACATCGTCTCGGTACACGACTCCGAGATTCTTCACCTTGTTGGTAGGGTGTATGTTCGAGTCACCAATAGTGAGTGGAGATGTTGTCACCTTGTTTAATTGCATCCTGGTACCAATAACCATATACTCTGTCTTGTCGTCATTCAATCTAAAAAAACTCGTAGCCATCCATTTGCGAATATCTGCAAGGCATGTTTCGATCTGATTCTGGCAAACTGGGATAGAGGTAGGTACACTGATGTACAGCTGACTGTCATCGGCATACCCATGGAAACGTAGGCCATGCCGGCTGATGATGCCACCAATTGGCGAGATGTACAATGAGAACAACACTGGGCCTAGTACTGATCCTTGAGGCACGCCAGATTCTAAGTGATGTTTCTCGAATGTTGAACCATCTACTGATACCCTCATCGCTCTCTCCGACAAGTATGATCTAAACCAGTCTAAAGCCAATCCACTGATTCCCATGGAGTTTTCAAGTCTACTGAGGAGTATCTGGTGGTCAACTGTATCAAAGGCCGCTGACAGGTCAAGGAGCACAAGTAGTACTACCTCTTGTCGATCCATGCTCCTGAGGATGTCGTTTTGGACTGTAGTGAGTGCTGTCTCTGCACTATGCCTGGTCTTGTAGGCTGACTGATACACCCCCATCAGGTTATGACCGACGAGATGTTCATTAAATCGTTTGAGGACAAGATTTTGGATAGGAACTGTAGATTAGAAACCGGGCGGTAATTTTTCAGAATCGTGAAGTCAAGGCCAGGTTTCTTTAAAAGTGGCCGACCAGAGCTTCTTTGAGGTCTGTAGGCACCACTCCCTGAGTCAATGACGTGTTGAGGAGTGATGTAACAGCTGGTGAGAGGGTGTCAAGACAACAAGTAGCCACGTTGGTATTGGGTCCAGCGGACAGGACTTCAAAGGTGAGTATTTTATTATCCGTTCAACTTCATTCTGATCTGTCGCTTGAAACATGGACATTCCGGCGCCCACAAAATTTGTATCCTCACTGAGAGTAGATCCAGGCACTGCGGATGCCAGGCTTCAGATCGCAACCTTCTAACCTTGTCAGTGACATTTGGGAAGTGGAGACATTAAAGATTGAATAAATATCTCACGTCAGCAATAATGACCGTTTGTTCTGGCATCTCGCTGACACCGGTCAACTGAAGGTGGAGGAGAGAGAAGAGGAATTATATACAATAATGTCTTTCATCAGTGCATGTGGATATTTTCCTTACTTTGTTTATGAAAGATGTTTTCAATAACAATTTTATTTTACATTTCTAGGTGCATACTTTGAAAATAACGTTCCACGGTCGAACAAGTGGGTTTCGATAGCTTGGTTTCGAAATTCAGGGGTTGAAAATCATTTCAAAACTCCACTGGACACAGGTCCAGTAAACTTTCAAAATCCACTTGACCAAACATTAATTTCACTTGACCACAATTAAACAATTTGGTTTCTTTTGAAAATAATCTTTATCAATTATAAAGAACAGAACAGCAAATAAATTCTGAACATTTTTTATCAATAAAACACCAATTATTGATCAGCTAATAAATGTATCAAATTTAGAGTATTTGATATCAGTTATGCATTAAATGATATTCTGCTTTATTTCAGATTTCATTTTACTATAATACAATTCAGTAGTTTGGCACTACCGTACCACGATAAAGTTTAATGTGGATATTTACTTGACCGACCGGAAAATTCCACTCGACCCGGGCGTCGGGCAATGTTGTTTTTTTTCAACCCCAGCGAAACTATGCCAGTTCAATTCAGTCATAGTGTGAATAGGGTTTTATGCCGCTTTGAGCAGGTCACATCACAACCCCATACACTGTGCATCTATACTGGAATTCGAACCTGGGTCTTTGGCGTCACAAGTCAACGCTTTAACCACTAGGACATCCACATGCCTGATATAGTTATCATACATAGCCTGAACAAAACATGATAAGTCAAAAGGCAAGTGCAGGGGTTTTGCTGCAAAGAATGGAATTAGGACATTTCAATGACTGTTTAAACTTTAGACTGAACATACTCCTGTAGGACCATTTGGAGTGTGCATAATGAATCTTAAAAAGGATATCTATTTTCACTTCAATCGTTTTATTTCAATCATAAAAACATTGTCTGATAATTACAAATATTGACAGCAAGAAATATATGCTGGTAGGAAAATATCTCTTCATTTGATTACAAAAATTCTCAATCATTACCTTGGCCAAGTCCCTGGCACACTGATTCGATCCAGACAAACGCCCACCCGATCTCCGATGAGGTTCTGTCAAAGATCAAATTGACTACAGACTTCAGAAGAGAGCATTTAATACAAGCTATCAAATAAGACCTTGACCAAGACTTTTAGTGTAAACACACTGCATGTGTTTTGTAATTACCAGCGACATCTGTTGTGTATACAAGTATGTGTATACAAGTCTTGGCTTCCAGTTCTATTTCTTATCCCTTCTTGCTGGGTAACTATCAAGGGCAGAGATATGTCAAAGGCACCATTGTCTTCATCAACTGCATAGTTCATTGATTGAGTGTCGTTTAACGCCGAGATATTCAGCAATATTTAACGTCAGCAATATTCCAGCTGGATCTATATGGCGGCGGTCTGTAAATAATCGAGTCGGTCCAGTGATCAACAGTATGAGCATCGTTCTACTAAAATGTCTTACGATGGCATGTGTCAACCAAGTCAGCGAGCCTGACCACCCGATCCCGTAAGTCACCTCTTACAACAAGCATGGGTAGCTGAAGACCAATTTTAACTCGGATCTTCACGCGTCTCAACTGTATAGAGTCCGATGTATACGAGTTTTGTATAGGACTATAACCTTTTTTTTTCATTATAG